TGCTGAAGATGGTAAAATGTTTAAAAAATCACCACTATGACATTGGTTAGGAGTAGGCCGCAGTGACTTTGGTGAGAAGTATTGAAGGTGAGAACAAACGGTCACAGGGGAAGGAAGTGAAGTGACAGATTTAAGAGATATTAAAGAGAGGGACCAGTCAGAACTTTGTCCCTGTTGTGGTAGTGAGGGTAAGGAGACTCAAGTGTGCAGCCTATTTCCCGTTTGGCCAACTGAGTGCTGGAATCCTACCATTCATTTTTAGATACGTTGAACTCCAGGCAGCTTTAGGATATCTGAGCAGACATCCAGTGGGACTGCGAAGCTCAGAGGAAAGGACTGCCAGAAATAAAGATCTGGGAGAGATCAGCATAGGTAGTTGTTGTCTCCGAGTACGAGTTCACAAAGACAGGAAAACAGATCCAAATACATGTGTAGAAATGTCTTGTCTTATGAGAAGTTTTGCTTGATAGAGTGATAGATTAAGTTCCTAGTTTATCCTTTTTTTAACCACTCTACCTTAGTGGCTAGCAGAGTACCTAGCATCTAATTGTTTGTTTTTAAAATTTAACAATTGTGTGAATGTTTATTTCCTTAGGTTTGTTGGATTATTAAAATTATCTTATAGACGTATAACCACAGATGATGTAGATTTAGTTCCTCTAGTGCTAAGTGATTATTTAAAACTAAAAACTCATTCATGTTTTAAATGTTTACCTCATTTAAAAATTTTATCTTTTTACAGAATGTCCTTGGCCTGACAAAGGGAAGTGGTGTTAGTAGGGTGCTGTAAGTCCCCTCCCCGCCAACTCCTTGCCAGGAGCCCAGGAGGCAGCCTGGCTTGCCCCTTTCTTCTTCCACCTAGCTGGACTGCTGAGAATGTCAAGGCTGCTGCAGTCAGCCACCCCGCCGCTCCTTTCGGCCCTTCTTGCTACAAATACAGGGAAGCCAGTCAGCGTCAGCTCCAGAACTTCTCAGCGGAAGAGTGGAAGGGCAACAACATTTCTGATTTGATGAGAAAAAGAGCTGAATTGCCTTTGCAGAATATTTTGAAAAAAGAGTAAAGCAAATTCATTTATTCATGTCAAAGTAGGGAGACCCTATCATGACCCCTCCTTCCCACCCCAATGCACCTGTACTGCAGCCAGACCACAAAATTAATGTCCTTGCCTGCGGAGGCCTAGGACCTGTGGCTTTAGGAATTTCAGAAAACACTTTATTTCCTTCTCTTGCATTCCATTCTGCTGCCATATCCTGACACATACCTGTTATTTTATAATTGTTTCATTATTTTTGTCCCACTTATCAACATCCAATTTTATTTTATACATTTCTTAACTGATTACCCTGTCTTTCTTCACTTGGCCAGGAAGTCCAGAAGGGCAGATTCCATACCTGGTTTTGCTCACCAATAATAAAGCTCCGTTTATATATTTCAAACTTTCTGATTAATTTTCATAATGAGAACTACTCTTTACTTCTAGTATCATAAACTTATAGTCTTTGAACAATCTTAATAAGATATTCTTTTTATATGACTAAATCAAGATTGAAAATATTACAAGGTATCAAAATGTCACTTAATGCTTCTCCTTTTCCTCCTGTCCCTTTTGGCCATCTTACTTTCTATTTCATACTGCTCCTAAATCACAATACCACCAAGTCTGTCCCACATGACACATGAGAAAACCAGGTAACATCAAAGACCAAACCAATGACTGAGGAACACTGCTTTGTGGTACTATTTATTTTCTCGATATAAATAAGGGAATACCTGGCTGGTGTAGCTCAGTGGATTGAGCGCGGGCTGGGAACCAAAGTGTCCCAGGTTCGATTCCCAGCCAGGGTACATGCCTGGGTTGCAGGCCATAACCCCCAGCAAATGCACATTGATGTTTCTCTCTCTCTCTCCTCTCCCCCTCTCTCCCCCTCCCTTCCCTCTCTAAAAATAAATAAATAAAATCTTTAAAAAAAAATAAGGGAATATTTTGCAAGTGGAATAATTTCTGCATTATAAGCCCTAATATAACTACAAACAACAACAAAAAAATAGAAATCCAAGGACCGGAAAGTGCATAAAGGGTAGCACTACAGAATCCTCAGGTCTCCTTAGACAATGGGGTGGAGTACCTGACTCCATCATTTACTCTGTTCTGTGTTTTCTGCTGGTGATAAAAGGTCACACTTGTGATTTACCACTCTCTTTTAATTACACTTCTGCCATTTTCATCCTCTCTGGGTAAAGAGACTTGAAGACTTCCAGGGGATTTTTCAGGCCAGAATGACTTGTGCAGTTAAACTGTCACTACCCCCTTACACCTTAAACTGCTGTTGCAAACATAAACATAACCCTTGCTTATAAACTGATTATGTATACTTCTAGAATTTTTGGGTTTTCCTCCAAAAAAGTAACATTTAAATTGGGATTTCATTATGTCCCAAATACTTTTTCTTTGAGAACAGATATAAAATCTATATTAAATAGGTAGGGGGGAAAAGAATTTGTGCTTTCTTCTTATCCTCCAAACAGAGTTGGCAGTTATTGCTAGAGACATCCAAATATAAAAAACAATGCACAAATGTTAGAAGCAGCACAACAAAACAGACTGTGGACCATGTCTGGGTGCCATGGTTGGGTCAGTGGGAAACATGGAAGTGTAAGATAAAGTCCCCACTCGAGAGTAGCCACATCCTATTGGCTTTTCCTCCAAAATACATCCAGTTCAATCATTCTTCCCCACTTCCATCTCACACCTCATTACCCAAGGTGAAGGTCCTATACTCTTTCAGCTGACCTGCAGCAATAGCCTTTTAACTGTTCTTCCTTGAACCTGCCAAGGGCATTCCTACCTCAAGGCTTTGGTACTTGATTTTCCCTCTGCCTAGAATACTCTTCCCATACATTCACAGAGCTCAATCCTTTATGGTTTTTGTTCATATCTCATCATATCAAAGAGGCCAACCCTGCCATTCCATATAAAATAATCTCACTCTCTTATCTTAGAGCTGCTTTTGTTCCTCTTCATAGTATTTATCATTAATGTGGCACATATTATTAGTTTCCCCTAGAATTTCTTGAAAGCAGAGATTTTTATTTTTTACTATCTTGTTCATTGCTGTATCCTCCATGCCTAGAATGGTGCATGGCACACAGTAAGTATTCAATAAATATCTGCTGGCTGATATTTTATCTGTAATTGTTCAAGTTAAATAATGATACAGGGCAACAATGACTTAGTATTTCAAGACAGTTCATAGGTAACTGCCTACTGAACAGCACAGGCCAGTAATACCCAAAGGAGTATACACCAGCATCACTTGGAGAGGTTTTCCAAAACACACCTGCCCAGACCTCACCACACACCCACCAAACCTCTCTGGGTAGAGTTCTGAGCATGTATACATTGAAACAGCTCCTAGGTGATTCTATTTTTTAAATTTAATACATACAACATAAAATTTGCTATTTTAACCATTTTCAGATGATTGTATTTTGCGCTCCTGTTTAAAACTACTTGTATAAAATACCATGCCAGTTCAGCAGATAGAGTATAGCTGAAAGCAGGATTGAAAAAGAGAGACTGTTTTATCTTAGAGCACGGGCTTGGGAGGCGAATACAGGTCTACTACTCATTAGATGTGATACCAGGCAAGTTACTTAACTCTAGGTTTCCACAACCACAAAATAAAAACTTTATACCCTCTCTTCCTTCCCACATCCACTCCAAATTTCTCCAAGGTTACTGTAAAGCTAAAGTGAAATCTAGTACATATGTAAAGTATCTACTTTTGTGCACATGATAGGCATTAAACTAGAATGTACTGGAATTACTTTCATTGAAATACAAAAATAAATTCATATTGGCAGGACCACAAAAGTATGTAAAATCCTGGCATAAGTGGCTACAAAAATTTCTCTTTCTCTACCAATAAGGCAGGTAAGAAAGAAACTTGTTAGGAATTCCACAGATATCATCTTAGAACAATGATTCTCAAACTTGAATATCCTTCAGAATCACCTGTGGAGCTTTTTAAAAAATATGTCTTTATTGTATTTTTTTCGATTACCATTTAGTCTCTTTACACCTCCTCTCCCCCAGCAATCACCACCCTGTTGTCCTCGTTCATGAGTCCTTTTTCCTTTTCGCTCAACCCCTACACCCCTGACTAACTGTCATCCTGCTCTCCACCTGGAGAGCTTGTTAAATACATATTGATGTGCCCACTCCCAGAGTTTGTGATTCAGTAATACTGGGGTGGGGTCTACTAATTTGCATTTCTAACAAGTTCCCAGGTGATGATGAGGTTGCTGGTTATTAGTTGAAGGGTACAAAGTTTTTGTTATACAAGATGAGTAAGTCCTAGAGATCTACTATACAACATGGTGCCAATGAGTACAATACTGTTTTGTATACCTAAAATTTGCTAAGAGAGTTTATTTAATGTTAAGTGTTCTTATCACAAAAATAATAATAAATAATAAGAGGCTGGGAGGGAACTTTGGGAAGTGATGAATATGTTTATGGCACAGATGTGGTGACAGTTTCACCAGTGTATACTTAGCTCTAAACTCATTGAGTTGTAGACATTAAGTATTTACAGCTGTTTGTATGTCAGCCATACCTCAATAAAGTAGTTTAAAAAATGGGTTGAAGTGTGCATATTTTAACAAAACCTCTGAGAAGATTAATTCCTTCAGTATAATTTAAAAAAAATTAAAAAACCTAAAATACTTTACTTTTAAAAAACTATAACCAATGATATATTTTTAGAACATTTATAAATCAGATAAAAGTCAAGTATGATAATTTAAATAACAAAAGAAAATTTCATGCTACTGGTATCCCAATGACAAAGATAATCCTGAAAATATATTTAAAGTTAATTCTTAGAATATTCATTGTTTTATAAGCTAAAAACTAGATAAAACAAAATGTGGTAATTTTAAAAGAGCAAGTATAACCCACAACCTCTGATGGGTATATGGCATAAAGGTTACTTACACGTATGAAGACATTCCGTCACTGTAGTTGGCTTGATCAGATACCCTTTACAGATGTAGCAGGTGATGTAAGGATTGAAATCTTTCACCAAGTGTTTCCTTTGGGTAGCCATTCGTAGTTAACTAGGACTGGCTTCAGTAGTTCAGATAAAGAAGAGTATTAAGTGGATGAAAGTCTGATCCCAAGAGCTGGTATGGAGTTCCCAACTGGATATCCTGAGGCATGAGAACTAGCATCCAGGTCTGTCATGAAACAGCTGGTCATTACTCCTTTTGGTGGTTCTGCTTTTCCATATCTGTTTCCACAGCAATTTAAAAGATGAGAAAAAAGTGTTAAATTCCTAATACTATATTAATATCATTATATTAGCAGCCAAGTGTTGCATGTTCCAAATCTGGTAAACATGTGAAGAGAACATTTCCCTCACTTTAATTTGTAAACCTGGTAAATTTTAGATCAGAATAATGACAAACTCATGCAGTCCTGAAACCTCAACTCTCACCTTGATGTCACCAATGACATCCAAGGCTGTCAACTCCAGTTTTGAGAACTTCACATCTGCAGTAATGATTTTAACTATCTGCTGACGGCTCCTATTAGGAGTTCCTGGTGATACAAGTTAATGGATTCAAAACTGAAGTCATTATTATCCCTATCAAAATGGTTCCTATTTCCATTTTGTACCCCATACTTAGTCTGTAGTCAAATCAAACTCATATCCTTTTCCTTTCCATCCACAGCTACCTCATCCATCTACCTTCAGTCCATCTTATATTCTGCTTCTAGATGGGCAAAGAATGTCAAAGAAAGAATGACAGAGAATGTCAGTGTCTCCTCTTTACAAATTGAAAAATGTTTAAATTTTGGAGCTTGTTATATAAGACCTTCCACAGGCTGACCTTAACATACCCTTCAACACTCAGGCAAACTAAAATGATCACTCTCCCACAGTCCACTCTGCAGGCCATTAGCCCTCTATTCAACTGTCCTCCCCCTCCTCCACCTAGATCAGTGATTTTCAACCGGTCCTGTAAGAATTTTTAAAACATGTAATACCTATTTACCGGTAGTCAGGGTCAGTGACCTCTTTTCCCTTAGACTGTCAAATAAAATAATGACAACAGCCATCCGGTGTGAATGAATCAAAATTATACCTATTTTTTGTGAGATTGCCAAAAATATATTTTTTGGTGTGCTGCAGAATTTTAGTAGTTTATGTGTGCCATTATATGAAAAGGGTTGAAAATCACTGGTCTAGACCCTACAAAACCCTTCTCTAATGCTATCCTTAGTTGAAGCTCTCTGTACTTTTTATCCCTTACTTCTCTCCTGTTACGTATTTTGATTTATAGTTCTAGTCACTCATCTCTTCTATTAGATACAAAAATCTTTGATAGAAACTGGTCAAATTTAGTAAATGTGTATATAACCTAGGAAATGTTATTTATCCTAAGTCTGGGGGGGGGCGGTGGTTAACCTTAAAATGAAAATAAGTGTCAGCCTCCTAAGAATGGTGAGGATTAAATGAGACAATATACATGAAACTGGCTCATAGTAAAACTGAAAGTCACTAACCTTTTTCCAGACACATTCAGCATAGCTAACTTGTACATAAGGTTACTTTAAAAAAAAGTTTTAAAGGTTTCTTATAATAAATGTAACCTCTTAGAAAACACGACGTGAAAAAGGTGTTAGTTTCCTAAGTTTAATTCTATAAACAGGAACTTTTTTTCCTATCTTAGCTGTTCATTCATAGATAAGCATACATAAAGCAACCGGAAAAGTAAAATGCATCATTCCATCCACACATCGCCATTGAGAATGTGTAAGGAGCAGGGTCTGCATGTTATCCTTTCATCGTTCGGAATATTGTGTGGAGGGTATAGCAGAAGAGGAACATAATTAACACACCGGGCTCGGGGTTTTGGTCCTTCGAGTTGCATGACCTTCAGCAAAGCATTTAATATCCGCGCCTTGGTCCGCACGTTCCCCTCTACACACTGGGATTGAGGGCCCTGCCTTTCCCACAGGTAGGTTTGCTAAAAAGCTCCAAGTAAGAGAAAGTCCTCTAAAAGAGGAAACGCACGGCCCGGACCCGGGGCAGTATGAACACCGTAAGCCACAGAGCACTGTCACCAAAAGAGAAAGCAAACAAGTCCGTGCAGTGACAGCGCAGCGGCGGCCGGGAACTTTTCCGCGTCGTCCAGCGGAGGGACCCGGCAGTACGGCCCTGGGCAGTCCAGGCACAAGTCCGCCCCGCCCGCCGCGCAGGTGGCCGGGCCCCGCGAACCGCGCAGCTCTGCCGGCCCCGGCAAGCTGGGGAGGACCCGCTGCCTCTTCCCCGGCCGGGCGCTCGCAGCCCGCCGCTCTCTCCGTCTCTGAAGGGAGGCCGCGCCTCCGAAGCCTCCACATCCCGGCCGGCCACCCCCGCCCCAGAAGAACTCTCCCGGTTGCAGACGGCGCGGGCCGCGGCAGGTGCTTGGAGGTGCCGGTGCCGTTCCCCCTCCCGGCCCAAACTTGAACTGGGGGGTGTGGGGGGCGGCGAGGTCTCGGCCACTTTCAAGCCCGCCCAGTACCTACCCCCCGGCCGCCGCCGCCGCCGCCGCTCCTCGCCCGCCAGCGCGCCGGCCTCACAGGGAAGGAAAGTGAAAGAGAAACAGCGCCTGCTGCGGCCTGGCCGGTGCCGGCGCCCCGTCCGCCCTCCCCCTGCAGGCGGGAGTGCGCCGGCTCCGCCGGGCCACTCGGCTCCGGCTCGATAGGGCGCGACGGGCCTCGGGGCGCAGGGCCGGTGCCGCCTCCAAGGGCAACTCCACCCCCTTTCAACCGCCGGCGCCAGTGGCTGGCCACGCCCCGGGCACGCCCCCGGCGCCACGCCCGCAGGCCACGCCCGCCGACCCGCGCTCCACGCAGGTGCCGGGCGCCCCGCCCTCCCTGCAGCTGGGGCTTCTGTGCGACGCGTACCTTTGGCCAAATTTTTTATCGGTTCTTATTCTCTCCACCACCAACCCATCCCAGTTGTTTTTATCGTAACAATGTCCGATATAGTTTTCCTGGCGGGTTTAAAATTATCAGTCAGTGTTGAAAATGGGTCACCCTGCGAAATTATCTACTGGGCTGCATATTCCCCAAGCTAGTCCTACTGGGTTGAGAGGGGAACAACACATCATTTGATTTGCACCTTATTTAAAAATCATTAACTTGTTACTCTGGGGTGAGTACAGACAGCATGATCGTTGATAACTGTAAACAAGCAAGAGCACTTTTGGGGAGGCTTAGTGAAAAGGTAAAGAGTTATGACTGCAAGGGTCAAAAGAAAACAAAAAAATGTTATCTTTTGTTTTGTTTGAGATCTACAAAAGACCATTCATTGCAAAAAGTGTATTCAAAAGCATGCATTAAAAGATTCGTCAAAGTCATTTAGTACTATTCTATGTTCTACTAACTTACAAGTGTCTACTCCAACACTATTTTGCTAAACATAAATTAGACCTGGTTCTTTACTTCTTAGAAGATTGCAATCCAGTAAATCCCAGGGTAGCAGGGAAAACAGTGTGGTATCCACCCATAAAACAGAAGTAACAAAAGTTAAAACTAACATGGCAAACAGAATCAGCAAAAGGCAGCTTTCAAGTAAAGAGGTAAAGGTGTTGCAACTGCATCATCTTTGCTACTGTAGAAGTGAGACCAGTGATGTTTAGGGAGTTAATAGTATTTGGTGAGGGGGGGAGGACTAATGCAAATTATTTGCTTTATTTCCAGTTGACTGGAGTCACTTTCCTTATTACCAGGGTGTTAGACTGTGAAGATGGTTCCAGTGACAAACCAATGAACTCAGTAACTGCTAATCCAGCAGCTGTACAGGTTCAAAGATCCATTTCAAATTTAAAATACACCAAAAAGCAGACTAGGAGAGCTTCTTGAAATGTCCAGTTCATAATTAAACTATATAGAGTGGACATAACATTTAAAAATTACCATTTTTAGTATCACAGCTGGAGCAATACATTTTCTGAAACAGCTACTAATATCAATGACCACATTTTTAAGGCAAAGGTGGTCTTTTTTAAGCCAACATGCCCATTTCCAAGTTGTGTCAACTTGAATAAGTCACAGCAATCACAATGAGAATGAAAAACAAGTCAAATCAAATGACTTTATAGCTAAAAGATACTCTTCAGATCTTTCATCTCGTGGAGACTAAACAGATCAATATGTGAAAAGTTACCCTATTACTAGTGCATTTAAAATATATAATGGAAGATATTACCATACATACTGTTACAACATATACAACTTGGTATCTTCTTATTTTGCACATTAACCTATTTTAAATATATTTTCAAAGAATAACACTTAATGAAGTCCAGAGGGGCTTAAATGTGATTGTTGATCAACATTATAAGCAGGGTTAATTAGCAGTGAGGAAATGAGCTTGAGGATGGATATTAGGAGGATTTATATTGGCAATGGAGGGGGGGGGGTCACAAAGATGATATACATAGCAGTACCTGAAGACAGATGTGGAGGTGGGTTGCTGTAGTTGAAAATGAAAATGGTGAACTTGGGAGAGAATTACAACCTATGTAAGGAAATCTGTGCCTTGTATCCCCAGAGGCAGCATGATTTGTAAAAAATGTTCAGTGGTTTCTCTTTTTCCCTCTTTAGCAACCACTCTGCCTTTCCCATTCCAAGAAAAAAAAAAGCACAAACAAAAAAAAAGAAAAAGAAAATAAAAACCTCAAACATCTGGTTAAATAAAAATAACAACAAAAGAAAATGCAAGAGAGAATGTTTCAAAGGAGCAAGTTTCCTGACCTAAAAGTGAAGGTTCTAAGCATTTAAACATAAGACTTTCAGCTGCTGTGTTGCCTCTCCTTCTCCCCTGGGACAGCTTTGCGGTAATTCACTTTTCAGTCCCTTGGTTCTGACGGGGCTGGAACAAACCATAGAACCTTCAATATGAGGGGATGGCTCTGATAACAAATCTCAAGTATCAGTGGGACCCTCAAGTGAACAAAGGCCTGGAAGCAATTGGATATGCAGAACCAGGAAAAAAAAAAAGCAGATAAAAGAATCATAGGTGGGAGTCCCTTAACACTAATCTACTTCAGCTTTCTCATTTTACAGATATAGAAGCCAAGATCCTGAGAAGTGGCAAATTCATAAACATGGAGTTGATTTTGGTAAAGCCAAGACCAAAACTAAGGTGCCATTTGCATATTATTTACACCTCTCAAGATAACTTCTCAAGTCTAAGAACTTAAGGGAAGACTGGTAAGAAATGGATTAACTTAAAGAAAATAAAGGAACAAAGGGAGAGAAGAATGGATGAGGAGTGGGCAGGAAATAACTGCTTAGATGATATTTAGGAGGGAACCAGACCCTGGAGATTTACTATCAAAGAAGCATAATCTGAGAGCAATAACTTGTTCCATTTGATCATTGATCCAGATTCACTAGGGAACCATTAATGGCTCTTGATAGACCTTTGAACTACTTGGAACTATCTGTATACCTAACAAATGTTTTCATTACTTTGTATTTTATGTCTAGATTTTTATTTCCATTAAGACTGGACAAATGGATGGGTAATTCTGTACTGAAAAGCTCACATTCCTTCCTTATCTAATAAATACATCATCAATGAACTGTTTAAAGGCATAACATTTTAACAATAGGATTGTATCTTTACATTTCCCTGAAATAATAAATATGACTTTTTCATTATTGTAAATTATTATATATCAGTATGGTATTTAATCTTTTAATGCAAAATATCTCTAACATAAAACTACCCTCTTTATTCTAAATATCTTTCTGCAAAGATTTAGAATATATTAAAATTTAAAGTGTCCTACTAGTTCCAAGTGTACTTATTTTATGGCCATGGATACTACAGCTGAAAATATATGAATGGCCTAAAATAAATGATGGAGGGATAGGAGAACAGAGAACTAAAGGACTTCCAATCACCCTCTCCTACAATCAATAATTCTCAAGGACTCTCTGCTAAATGTCTTCTGAATCCTTTCACTTAACCTACCCTGGTTTAGATCACTTTCTCACTATCATCTCTATCTTCCATTACTTCAACAGACCATAAGCAATCTCCCTACAGCTCTTCTCTGTCAAAACATTCTCCATGGCACAGCCACAGACTCTTTCTAACTACAAATTTGTACGAATTTGATCATGCTCCTCCCTGGTTTAAAACAAAACAAAAACAAAACAAAACAAAACAAAAAACCCCTTGTGATAAAGCCAAACACTTCAATCCATCCTGGATCCCAGTCACTTCTACAGTATTTCCCTTGAACTCCATGCTGTAGCCTTAATGAACCTTTTTACCCTCTAGCTAGAGAGGTGGGTCTTCTTTCCAGCGAGCACCCTGTCCCAATCCTCTCTCCTCTTTCAACCGTGTTAAATCTGGCCAACTCTTATTTATCCTTTAGGTATCAGATAATCTCAAATGCTATGTTCACAGATATCTCAAAACTGCTTAAGAGTTTCCTCTATGTGGAAGCACCACAGACCTACATAATAATTTATACTAATTCTCTCAAGTCCCACATCACACTATCTTGGATTATTGGATTTACTGGTCTGACCCTTTTACTAGTGTGTAAGCACAATGGGTACATTGCATCCCTAGCAGAGTGGATGGCAAACAGAAAACTTTCAAATAAATACTGACTGAAAAGCTGAATGCACATATTCTGAAACATACTCTGTGTATTCTTGCTTCGGTTTCTTCTTGGAGGGATCTTTACAAAGGATGTGCTAAGGCATAATCCCTGCCTGCTAGGACTACTAATTAAAATCACACCAGGGAGTGGAGACTTATCCACCAGAAACAATTATGGAGCAATTCATCACATTTATTAATAAATTGTTAAGTGGAACCTGATCAAATGACAAAAATGTCTGTTAAAAGATGGAATACCATGGGTGGTTAAGAAGTTACTTCTACATGCATAAGACTCTGCCAGTTGCAAAGACAGCAAGGTAGAATGCCCAAAGCTATGGTATTTAATGAAAGAGCCAGAAAAAAAAGAGAAAGTCAATGTACTAAAAGTGGGTACAGATAAACAGCATAGGTATGGGGCAAGATTAGTCTGTGAAAGACTGTACAGCCAGCTAAACATTTTGAAGTGCTTTAAATACATTATGCTAAAGAGACAGATTGACAATTTTTTTCTTCTTTGAGAGGAGGAAAAGCTAGCTGTATTTTCTTTGCTGTGATGTCAACAGTTGGCTGAAGCAAGTTCCATTTATACTGGAAGAACAGAGACTAACTAAAATAGGTACAGACTATAAGAAAAAACTGGATTTACTCCAATCACCAGGGTTATGATATTTTAAAACATTATAGAACCACAACTGTTATTTTGGGAGGTCAGATTAAATCCCTGAGGATTATAAGTGAACAAATAATTTAAATGCAGAAACTACAAATATTCCATCAAGTCTGAATGTAGATGATTCTAAGTTAGGAATGATTGTAGAAAAAATAGGAAAAAAGTCCCACCTTAAAAAAAGATACGAAATTCAATTGAGGCAAACACATTACAGAAACTTAGTAACATAAACATTCAAATACTAAAGGAGGCTAGGCACAGGAATTGAAAAAGTAGCTATGGTTTAGAAGAAAGGACTCTAGACCCAGAGTCAGGAGAGCCTGGTTTTTAGGCAGGGCGAGTCACTTAACTTCCTTTGGCTTCATATTCTGCCTATGAAAATTGAGAT